CCCCTCCTCCCCGAGGATGACGACATGTTCATGGCTCGTTCGGTCAGCCGATACTGCGAAACCCTGGCAGACCTGAAGACACAGCTTGCCAACCACGCCGCCAGCCTGCACGAGTCGAGGCGAGGGAGCATCATCGGGCCGCTGGTAGCGGAGAAGGAGGACCTGCGGGTCCTGGACAGGCAGGCGCGCATCGAGAGGCTTCGCAAGAGCGGATGGCAGCGCAAGCGGTTCGATGCGAGGCGATACGAGGAGCTCTGCGATGCCGTTATGGCGGAGCTTGCCTGAGCCTTCCTTTTTATCCACCACCAACTATCCGCAGAGCATCTGCGCTTACGAGGCAATCCTTTCCTTTCTTATCTACGATCTACGAAGACGAAGCAATCTGTCTGAAACGAGAAAGCGATCTAATGTACGATGTTTCTGGATACGACGACAATACGTTCCGATGTTTTTACTACTTTGGGTTTGGGTCGGCTACTATCGACGGAGTATTGAGGCGGGATTCCAGAGGCGCGCGGTCGGCACGAGAGGGTTTGGAGGACATTAATGTGTTTTTTCAAATGCTAAAAGCCTCAGGGCCGGCGAGTTGTACAGCCTTGTTCTGTTTTTTCTTTGTCAACACACCAGAGCCAAAAGGCATTTACTTATTCTACATGTAAAATATTAATCCTGGAGCTCTTTCGACTACGCAGCAGGAAGACAGCAGCGAACCCTTTCGCATCAATGCGACCCATCATCCAAGTACCACCTCTCCGTTCTCTCTCCCCCTCCGTGCTGCCATGTTTGCTACCAGCGCCCCCCGCTTCCCTGACAGAAGACTAAGACTTGTTCCCATTTCCCGGCCTGGGGCGTCTTCTTTCCACCAAATCCCACTAATTACGCGCGGGACTGCGGCCAAGGCTCCGCTGCAGGAACGTGGCGAGCCAGCGCGCGGTGGCGCCCCCGACCGGTGGCGCCCCCGACGGCGCGGCCTCCAGCCCGAGTCTGGGCTACGCCTAAGGCAAGAGTCAGGCGAGGGTAATAATAGAAGACGTGCAAATCGTGATGCAGAAGCCTTCCGGCGCGTCAGGCGCGTCATCTCCCTGCCGTCCACCATTAGCGCCTCCTACATACGTCGTTTACCCCCTCCCTTCCTCCCGCCGTGCGAAGAACGACGTCGCCTGTGCCATATAGGACAGCCCAAGGACCGGGGTTGCATCTACCGGAATCTCCCAGGGCTGTCTCGGGCCGGCCGCAGTCCCGGATGCCATCCAGTTGGGCGAGCAGATTGAAAGGGGGAGGGGGGGGGTGGATGGTACCCGACCAACCACGTCACTCGGATGCGCGCTTCTCCTTCTGGATGGCTACTCTCGTTTGGGTCCAATCTCGCCCTCCCAAGGATGCCCCCTTTCCATTGCCCCCCCCCCCCCCCCAGACGTCGATCATTAGGCGCCTTTACGGGAGAGCGGCACTGGCATGCCCACCTCGGGGGCGCGCTACGTACCGCGCTTTTTATAAAGTCATTTAGCGAACCACCAGTGAACCGCGTCCGCGTCTTCGGGTCGAGATTAGCACGGCGCATGACGCCAATCTGCCACCGTCGCACTCTCGTCTTGTCAAGTGCCACCACATTCGCGGGCCCGGATCTTGAAGAATCTTGGGCCGGCGCTTCTGTGCAGAGGCCGGGCGGCGAGCCAGGTACAATACAGTACAGTACACACACAAGGTGTCCTTGGTACAGTACAGCACGCGTTCGCCACATTTGCCAACCCGCCCTTTTGGTGACTCTGAATTCCTTCATCGGTACCAACGTGGGAGACAGCCCGCCAGGGCTGAACAAGGGCAGGGTTTCCCCAGCTGTCTCGGCCGTACTAGAATCGTTGCATGATATGAATACAAAAGCTTTGATTGAGTCCTGCGCGGCAACCGTGGGTCTCTACTAATTCTCATTTTTCGACCCATGCCATCTTACGCAAAGGAACTAACTGGGTCGGTCCGTATCGATGGGGGTAATCAATGGTGAAGACAATGCACTACTAGAAACCTGTGAACCAGAAACCTCTGAACCAGAAACCTCAAGTGACTGATGGTCCGAAGCAAAAGCGCCGCTCCGGGTCGCGAAGATAGCCCGTTCCTTCCCATATTTCCCGTCATCCAGCCCGCCCCTCTCTAGAGGGCGGTCGCCGACAAGCCGCTTGTGGCACCGCTGGAATTACACACATCGCGTCTAGCCACGTAGGCTCGCTCTTTTCCCTCCTCTGTTTTCCTCCTCTGCCCGCCGATTATCTCAGTGCTCTAGGCTGTAGTTACCTTGTTGCTTCGGCCCTGCTGTGTTGCTTGCTGACCGAGCTCTCTGCGAGCCCTCTAGCCCTGGAAGCTTTTTCTACGAGCTTCCTTCTCGACCTCCTCGGTGACCTTGAGAGTCTGCTCCTGCTGCTTCATCTCCTTCACCTTAGCCAGCACTACCTCGCGGAAAATGGCACCTTTGATGGCCTTAGACAAGCTGCGCTTGCCTGTGCCGCCAGCACTGCTGTCCTCGTTAGCCTTCGAGTTTGCGCGAGGGCGCGACTGGTCTGCTGCTAACGTCGAGTCTGCGGGCATGTCTGTGTTTTCGGGGTCGTCCTCTTGCATCTTGAGCGACTCGATACGGTTGGCCAGCTTCACCATCTCGATGCCCCGCCGCAGGCGCGCCCGCGTGAGGTAAGCCTTGATCTCGGGCAACAAGTTGTGGTCGGTGGCGGTCTCGCCGCTCAGCCAAGGGTGGGACAGGGCTTGCTACAAGCATATAATCGTTAGTTCATTGCCGATATTCTTTCCGCCGTCTGGAAAGGGAGCACGATCCGACAGGATGGCTGCTACTTACACCGCTCGACCATCGATCGTCGGGTCGCGGCTGCAGGAGCTTCATGATGAAGTCCTTGGCATCCGGGCTAACGTCCTTCCAGTAGCGCTCGTGGAAGATGACCTGAGCGTTGCTGCACTCGTCGATGAGGTCCTGCAGGTTCTCGGAGCGGAAGGGCGAGTAGCCGCAGAGGAGGGTGTAAGTGATGACGCCCATGGACCACATGTCGACCGGCTTGCCGTGACCCTGCTTCAGCATCACCTCCGGGGCGGCGTATCCAAAGGAGCCCGCCATGGTCGTGAGGACCTCGTCCTTGCTGTCGAGCATCTTGGCAATGCCGAAGTCGGCGAGGACAAGGTCTGACTCGGGCGACTTGGTGAGGTAGAGCAGGTTCTCCGGCTTGAGATCTGTTGTCCTTGTTAGGCCATGCCTGCTCTTCCTCGTGCTCTATTGGGGGGTTTCTACCTCGGTGCACGACATTGTTCTTGTGCAGGTAGTCGACAGCACCGAGCACCTGCTTGATGGTCTGGGAGGCGTCCTTCTCCGTGAATTTGCCCTGCTCGCAGATGCGGTCGAACAGCTCACCGCCCGTGGCAAGCTCAGTGACGATGTAGTACTTGTCCTGCGTGGCCCCATCAGCGTTTATTCCCGTAGCCTTATCACGTGCGGTGCCCCCTCATGATGCTGGAAACCCACTCGTGACTCGAACCAATCGACAAACTTGACGATATGGGGATGCTTCAGACGCTGGAGCATGTCCAACTCGTCGAGGACCATGCGCTCGTTGCCCTTGACATTCTTCTTGAGGATGATCTTGATGGCAACCCGGCCCATGGGCCCTTCTGCCTCCCTCACGATGCCATAGGTTCCCGCGCCGAGGGTGCGACCGAATCGGTACTTGGACCTGGAAAGCCGGCTGGTTAGAAGCTTGTCGCATCGCCAGGGGGAGGGCAGCGCAACGCTCACTTCTTATCGTAGCTCTCGGGCTGGCCGTGGAAGCGGTTCAGCATGTTGGAGACTGTAGGGGCGATTGGTCAATACGTGTAGATACATAGGGGGAGACACGGGCCATTGGGGGCGGATTGCGAAGGGGGAGAAGAAGGGGAGGGAGACGGAGGGCAAAGGGATCCCAGCGCAATAGATGCCGGTCGCGAGGCGCCGGGGGCGGGGGGCGACTTACAGCTCATGATGGCGAGCCTCTGATGAGGAGAGTTGTACAATAATAATAGGAGAAGGAGGGGTTCGTCTGATGCCTAGAAGGCGACAGGTAGGGAAGAAGAGGGGTAGCTGTGCTGTGAATGGAAAATTGATAGAGAAGTCGCACGCCTCTTACCCAAACGGATCGTTTCGCTCGCGGGGAGGGAAAAGAGGTGATTGAGCAAACGGGGTTTCTAGAGGGAAGAGATGGATGTCGGTCGCAACCTAGAGAGGTTGAATGGAGAGAGAAAGCACGCTGGACCGGTTGTAGGAGCGCGGCTGAGAAAGAGGTGGGATGTATGGGCTTGGCAGCACCCAAAACCTAGCGGGCGGCCTGTCTGACAAGCTTGGGCGGCGAGGGCGGCCGGCGGCGGCAGGCTGAGACTTGGAAGGAGGGGTTGTGGATGTGGAATAGGGGGGAGGGGCTCCCTGGCTGTCCTGGCTATCGGCTTTGCGCCCGTGCCTATGCAGTGCGGCGAGGGGAGCGGAGCGCTTTGTTTTTCAAGACCTTTTTTTCCAAGACGAACGGGGGAGCGCAGCAGCGGGAGGCAGCACAAGAGCACAAGCGAAACGCAAGACTGCCCGACGGGGTGTGGTGACGGGGAAAGCAAGCATCAAAAAAGCCCAATGGCACCGATCTGAGAGGGCAGCAGGAAGGCAGATCGCCCACGCCGACGCCGAAAGCGAATCGAGTGCGCCTAAGCACCGAAAAACCAGGCTTTGCCGAGCCTGGCGGGGTTCTCCCTCCCAGGCGCCGGCGGCGGCTGGCCGTCCGGTACGAAGTAGTGGGGTTGCTCAGCCTTCCTCGTTTGGCCCATTTGCTCACCCAGGGGGTTTCACAGCCTCCATCGGGTTCCCACACCCCATCAAAGAGGAGGAGGCCGCTCCCACATTCCCTAGTCATTACCCCCCATTCCCGCCTGCTGCAGCCTCTCATTATGTAAACTCTATTTCCGGGGAAATCTCGATAAATATTTCGTGAGCCGTGGTGGCCAAGCGGTAAGGCGTCGCACTTGTAAGCTGCGCAGTCCAGCATCAATGCGAAGATCCCTGGTTCGATCCCGGGTCATGGCATTCTTTTTCGTCTTGGGCGTGTGACCCTCTTGTTCCTTCTTCTTCTTCTTTTTTTATTTTTATCCCCCCTCCTTGCTTAGCTGAAGCGTCTCCAAGTTAATTGCCTCCCTTTGTCGAGCTGCCATGCCTACTCAGGAAAACTTGGTGAGAAGAAGGGAGGACGGGGCAAGGTAGCGAAGGAGGCAGGAACCACCATGGTGATTTGCTGGATAGAGACGGGCTCTGAGACCTGCAATCTGTATCGTGATATATTTATTATACACCTACGTCCCCGCCCATTCTCCGTCTCCCACGAGACCGTCCATCTCAACTGCACCCATAACAGCTTGTCGGCAAGCGAAGCACAACATCTCACCCGCCCAGCGTGCGTAATACATCCGAAATATGGGACGGCAGACGAGCGAGCCTCCCTATTCAAAGTCATAAAGCGAAGGAGAATGTTGATATGTGCGTGTCTAGTGGTGCACAGAAAGACCAAGACCAGCTTCCTCCCCAAGGCTAGGTAATCGTATACAAACAGCCAAGAGCTGTATACCATGCGCATTACGCTCTCACGTCACAGGATACAGGTAGGCGACATTAGAACTCGAGGACCGCCCGGTACCGGATCGTATTTTCATCTAGGCTCCGGAAAATGGCCTCGATCGTCTCCGACCCTTCAAACTTGAAGACCTGGCATACAGGCTTGACCCCTTTCTTCGCAGCGAACTGAAGCATCTCAGCGTGCCTAGCTCGGGAGGCTACGAGGGATGTATAGACAGAGTACGTGTCCCAAAACATCGTCATCTCCCTACCTCTCACGTTAGCGCGTGTCGTTCTTTCCAGGAGCGAGACTCACGGCAGAACCAGAGGGCCGTTGTTCGGGGCTGTCAGAGGAACAAGTGTGCCATTCCTAGCCAGAACGCGGTTTTCCAGCAACCTATAGCCCCATGTCAGCACCACCACCCAGCGACACACCCCGGAGGGCACACCTACTTGTTCCAGTTTGGCATCCTGGCACCGGTGACGACAAGGACCTGGAGGGGACTCAAGATCTTGTCGACGTCGCCGAGGAGGACAAACTCGGACGCGCCAAAGCCCATCGCCTCTTGTTGCTTCTCCTTGGTCGTGCTGATGACGACAACCTCGACGCCCATTTTGGCAGCAAACTGGATGGCCAAGTGGCCCAGGCCGCCAATGCCGAGAATGCCAACGCGATCGCCCGGCTTGACCGTGTCGACGAGAGCCGAGTATACAGTGGCACCGGCACACTGGAGGGGTGCGGCATCAACACTGCTCAGCTCGTCGGGGATGGGGTGCACGAAGCCCTCCTTGCCGATATAGAAGTGGCCGAACGTCCCGTTATCCATGTCGCCGCTGCCGTAGATGGTGCGCTCATAGCAATGGATGTCGTTACCTCCTAGGCAGTAGCGGCAATGCCCACAGGAGGTCTTGTGGAAGCCTCCGCCGACGCGGGACCCGACCTTCAGGGAGGTGACAGCCTCGCCGACAGCCTCGACGAGACCGACGCCCTCGTGGCCGAGGGCAGCGGGAATTCCCCACCCAAGTACCACTAAGTCGGAGTGGCAGACGCCGCTGTGTGTCATGCGGACAAGGACGTCGTGGGGACCCAGCTCTGGGATGGTCGTGGCTGTCTTGGTGACCTTACCCCCCAGACCACGGTAAACGGGATACTCGGTGCCGACAAGAGCAGCGGCCATTATGTTACGTGGTGAAACTCTTCGTAGTTTGGCTAATCAATACACTACGTTGCGGTCAGGCCCAAATGATTGTTGTATCCTCGAACTAGAGAAGCAAACGCATGGCCTAGGCACGTAACGCCTTTTATATTCTTTGATGACCCGCAAGGGCTACCCAAGTTCCTCCTCAGTCATGGTGGCGGTCAGCCTTTGGCCAGTATCACATAAAGGCATGCCTGCATACTACATCTTCTCCAGCGGGCCAAGCAGACGGTAGATGGTCAAGGAGCGCGCCGATAATCTCGACAGGTCTGATTCGGTCCAGCTCAGGGGGGGGGGTCATTCGGACTGAAGGGGTCGTAAGAATGACTGACATGACAAAATAGATCCGAGTCTCCATGGTATCTCCTTGCAACATCTGCCTATACCTAGACATAACAGAAGAATAGGATAGCCACGGAAAGTTGGCCTATATCAACTCGCATATGAGCCCGCACCCTAGTCCGCGCCCTAGTCCGCTACGCCACCGCTATGCTCTCCCGTCCTTCGCCACGTTTCGCTCAACATTCGCCGCTCTGAACAGGAAACATGGATCAGGCAGCTTGTGAGGGCTTCTTTAGTACGGGCCCCGCAGCATGGATGTCTCCTCGGGGGTGTATACATGCAGCGTCGTGGAGTTTCTAGAGAAGTAAACCAACCTGGGTGATTATTGATCTCCTAAACGAGTCCGGTCCGTGATGATTACTGAGCTCTGAGTTCCGAGCCGTCAGGCTGATGTCTTCAGAAGATGTGAATAATTGGAAATACATGCCAAGGCCTCAGGAGACCATCCATAAGGACAAGTTGTCGGTCTGGTACGGTCCGGTGTCTCACGAGATGATATCTCTCATTGGGTGATGTAGTACCTTACGGGAACTGCTGTTAGCATGATCTTCATATATAAGCGGCTGCCCAAGGCACAGATACGTCTCAAAGATACTTTCCTTGGTACCTTGCGAGATGGTCCGCAGTGTAAAGTTGCGCTACTTTGTTTATCACATAGATAACAGCTATCTATAACCAATTATTGCCCTATTCGGACAAGGCAGAGGTAGTCAGTCAAGCACGAGAGCTTTAAGCAAGTAGTACTTACAGTCAGTAAGGTAGGTAATGTAGGTATGTACGTCGGGCTGGTGGCGGGTAAAAGTGGAACCCACCATTCACTTTTGTGGAGAAGGGGGGGGGGGGGCTTCTTATCGTCTTATCGGGTCCAAAATTTTGGTCCATAGCATCTCCGATTGCTGAAGAAAATCCAATCCCACCACGAGCAAAAGCCTTTACTTACGCTTTGCCGTCCATTGCCTAGCATGCGGGCCCTGCAGGAGCAAGAGATGAAGGCGGTCATGGAGAAGCTGGCCCAGTACACGGGCGGCTCTCTCAAGAACCTGATCGCCCCCCTCGACGACGGCCCCAACGCCGACCGCTACGTCTTCCGCCTCCACCAGAACAGGATCTACTACGGTAAGTTGCCCTGCCTTTGCGCTGTGCACCCGGGGGCGTACGCGCTGACGCGGGACCTCGGACAGTGCGCCTGTCGATTGCGAACCTCGCCACCTCCATCTCCCGCGACGCCCTCCAGTCCATCGGCGTGTGCCTGGGCAAGTTCACCAAGAGCGGCAAGGTGAAGCTGCTGATCACGGCCCTGCCTATCCTGGCCGAGCATGCGCGGTACAAGTTATGGGTCAAGCCGAACGGCGAGATGCCGTTCCTGTACGGTGGTCACATTGTCAAGGCTCACGTAGGTCGGTGGTCTGAGGATACACCCGAGCACCAGGGCGTGGTGGTGTACTCCATGAACGACACTCCTCTAGGTACGCCCAGCCCCCAGTCCCTTTTGTGTGCTCCAAAAAAGTCCGTCTTAATATTGACCTGGCATAGGTTTCGGCGTGACATCTCGCTCGACCGCTGAGGCGAGGAGGCTCGACCCTACCGGCATTGTTTGTTTCCGGCAGGCCGACTGTGGCGAGTACCTGCGCGACGAGGACACTCTTTTCGTCGGGTCATGATGGGAACAAGGTCCTAAAATGGTAGAGACGAAGAGGTTCGACAAAAAAAACGGCAGATACAATGGGAAACGGCATGAACAGGGCGCATGCGGTGTTTGGCTGGCTAGATGCGCGGTGGGAGCCCGGTCTTTTTGGGTCGATTCCAAAGCATTGTGATACCAATTTATACAATTTCGGAACGCCGAACGCCTCTAACATGTCTCTCGTGCCTGTGTCACTTATGCCTTTCCCCTCCGCTCTATAGTATAGTCCCTGCTGCCTCGTAGCCCCCGATCCCCATGCCCTCAATTGTCTCACGTACCGGAGTCGCTGGTCTGCTTTCTTTCCTGAAAAAGCTGATGTGGTCCCTGTGAGCAACGTACTCACTGTCAGAATAGCCCAGCAAAGCCTCGATCTCGGTGCTCTGGTGGCCCTTTATCCTCGTAATCTGCGTCGACGAATAGTTCGTCAACGCCCTTCCCACTTCGACTACAGGACCCTCCCAGAGCTTTCCGTCTTCTCCGACTGTCGCTTTCCTCTGCACGACGCAGATCCGCACAGCTTCTTGTTGAGCAAAGGAGCCGTCTACATCCACGACGCCCACCGGCAGCAGGCCGGCCTTGCCCACCAAAGCCTTGTGCGCTCCTGCGTCGATGTACACAGTCCCGTGCGGCTTGAGGCCATGCAAAATCCAAAAGGTACGGTCTCTTATTGGGTGCGGAGAGGGAAGAAATCGGGTGTGAAGTGGCACTCGTGCGTCGTGATCTATTCGCAAAGACGCCGTCGACTTGGACAGGGGGTCTTCGGCTGGGTCTTGCAAGATGACAGAATTGGCAAGAGACGGAGGCGACCTGTTCCCCTGAACATGCTTCACGATTCTTACTATATTTCCTGGGGTGGAAGCACGGGTGATGATGGTTGTAACCCCAGCCGACGTAGCAAGCCGCGCGGCCACAATTTTGGTGGACATACCGCCAGTGCCCAACGAGGACCCGGCGGATGAGACTGTAGGGGAAGCATTTCAGCAATGGTGAGGCGGGCAAGGTAGGGAGCGGTTTGCACTGACCGTCTGCTACGAGAGCGCCTATATCCTCTACGACTTCGATAGGTTGCGCGTCGGGATTTGACCTCGGGTTCTTGTCATATAAGCAGTCGACATCGGTCATGAGGAAGAGGAGATCGGCATGAACCATGCCGGCCGTAATGGCCGACAGGGTGTCATTGTCGCCGAACTTGATCTCAGACACGGCCAATGTGTCATTCTCGTTGACGATTGGGATGACTCCCATGTCTAGCA